CATATGTTTGAGTGTTTTTGTTCTTATGGGTAAATGAGCATGCTGAATGTATGTATAGCAATGATATGTCGCTTATTTCACTGTTATACAACTCTCTAGATGGATATAGTTTGTCCTTTCTATAAATTATTCTTAAAATATAATTTCGAACAACTTTTAATGGTCTTCGTAGATTCATAAGCTCCACCCCATATTATAAGGCCATATCTAAGCAATTATTCTACTAACGATTTGTATACTAGTACTAGTATTTGTATAAGTAGTTTTTTGTCCAAAAAATCTCGAAGAACATAGAACTTATGAATGAGTCCTCGAACTTTGCCTGTCAAATAGTGTACATGTTCTATCCATTTCAAATTTCTGTCCACTATGATTCCTAAATAGTTTACCTTTGACACAGCCTTAATTTCAAGGTCTGGGTTTATTTGGCTAACCAGGCTAAAATGTGGTCTATTAGCCTTTGTTATACTGAACGAGATAAAATGGGTTTTCGTGAAATTTAGTGATAATTTATGTGAATCTAGCCATTGTTTTACCACATCCAGCCCGTCCATTGCCTTCTTTCTAACCTCATCCCACGAAACCCCTGAAAGATCAGTGCTGTGTCATCAGCATTGAATACAATCTTGCCATTCATGTTTAACCCCAGCAGATAATTAATATAGGTTATAAATCAATTTATGACTTGCAAATCTTTTTTTTGTTCTTAAACCGTTAGTCTTTCGACGGTTTGATGATAGACCAAAACCTGCCAATGAAAATAATGTATATTCGAAAATCTGTATTTGCCGGACCAATCATTATTGAAACATAACAATTTTTCAACGCAACGAAATCTTCAATAAGCAAACACTTCGACCTGTCGCTTTTAAAACCCAGACAATTATGTTTTTCCATATCCTCAAACCAAAAACACATAAAATCGCAGACGTGTTGTTAAAATATCGAAGGGCGTAATGAAATTCCATTAATTTAGGCATCGGCACGAGGAAAGCGAACGGAAATAATAAATAGAAAAAAACTTGCTCTGTCGGGATATGGACAAAAAGCCTTCTCTTTGGCGATCAATCACACGTGTAAATCCGGGAAAATGTAAAATGGAGGCAGCATTGGCATCGCAACGAATAAAAAAGAGCAATAAAACGATGATAACTTCAATGCAGCATGGATGAGATATGAACCAGAGGCGGAACGTTGCGGAATTAATCACTTGAACCTTACTCATGCGCGGTTTTCTATGTGGATCTTCAGTTTTTTTTACTGATGACGAACTGATGCGAAAATCATTTGCATAGAATGAGCATGTACATGACAAACTCTATGACCACTGTAGAAATTCTCCACTGAAAAACTTGGAAGTATGTTTGAGACTTTCTAGAGCTACTCAGTGAGGTTCTCTACACAAATAGAGCGTCTAGAGCACAAAAGACGACAATGTAGGAAATTAAAGCACGTATTCCGATCAGACTGGCGTTGAACTAAAATTGACAGTTTTAAATCAAGATCCAGATCATTGGCTGTGGCAACAAAATGTGGAGAAAAAAACCGACAACTCGTCATCCCGAGGAGCGCATCCAGAATCCCAAGGGAAATATACCTGCCTCGACGCCTGGCAAGGTGACGCCAAGACACGGCGTCGTTGAAATATTAGCCAACTTTTCGTATGGACGAGCGCAGTCATTTGTTTTATGTAAATAAGTATCAAAAGTTTGTCGTTTGTTATTTCGCGGTGTCGCTCTTTCCGATTCGTTGGCCCCCATTGGGTGGCGCTTCCATGAAATTGCCCCCATCCCTGCAAATTTCTTAGCAGACCTCGACCATCCAGTTTTCCCATCAAGTCATCATCTAATACGCAACTTGAGCCATTAGCAAAGAATTATTTTATAAAAATTTAGCCTTGTTCCATTTGGACACACAATGAAAACGAAATTGGAAAATTTCAAAAACCTTTTAAACAAATTTTATCGTCTACATTTCAACCACTCGAAGCATGAGGACCTACATTTCTATTTGGGAATTCACGAAAGTTTTCAAGTTTGCTGCTCAAAATATCGTTGCTTTTCCCAAATGTGACTCTTGCAGTTTCAATTTATTTGCTTTGCTTAAAAGCCTTTGCTTATATCTATTGTATACCGTGTGCAACAATTCTTTCCTTAAGATGTTCTTCTAAGCTTTTGAGGATTTGTATCCCACTTTAGGTGCCGCCACTCCATTATCCTTCCCAAACATTTTAAAACTTCTGACTAGAATTAATTTGGATTTCTTTAAAAAA